CCTGGGGCCTCTCCAAGCTGCCTCGGGGGCCGTTTCTGCTTCAGCCCTGACACTCTCTCCTGGGAAGCACGTCCGCCATCGGGATTCCTGCCTGGGATGGTGGGCGCGGAAGCCCTGGGGGCCGCTGTGTGTGTGTGTGACCCTCTGAACACACAGGGGCTCTCCCTGGGGGGCTGGCTGGGGTCTGATGCCCCCTCCCGCCACAGTTCTTCGTGATGCTGCTGTTTGTGTTCCTGCTGGAGGCCACCATTGCCATCCTCTTCTTCGCCTACACTGACAAGGTTGGTGGCACGCAGGGTGTGCTCTGTCACACACGGTATGGTGCAGTACCAGGCACGCTCACAGAGGTGCACACACCTCCTCCCCAGGGCCGTGTGTGCACACGGCACACATCATTGAAGACTCGATAGACATGCAGTTCGTGGATATGCTCACCTGAACACTCGTGTGCACACACTTCCTTCCCAGGGTCATATGTGCACACATGGCACATGGCATTGAGGACATGATAGACATGCACACAGTTCATGGACATACTCACCTGCACACTCGTGTGCACACCCTTCCTCCCCAGGGTCATGTGTGCACACACAGCACACAACATAGAGGACATGGTAGACACAGTTCATGCACACAGTTCACGGATATGCTCACCTGCACAGTCATGTGCACACACCTCCCCAGGGTCATACATACAAATGCAGCACACATCGAGGACATGATAGACATGCACACACTTCATGGACATGCTCACCTGCACTCGTGTGCACACACCTCTCCTCCAGGGTCATGTGTACACATGTGGCACACATCTAGGACATGCCACACATGCACACAGTTCACAGACACACTCACCTCTGGAATCGTACGTACAGTCAATTCTCGTTATTGGCAAGTTCTGTTTGCAAATTCACCTACTCACTAAATTTCATCTGTATCCTGAATCGGTCCTCACCATGCCTTCATGTTGCAGATCTGAGCAGCGTGGTGAACACAGTCTTCCCTCACACCCGTCCTGCTGAGGTGGCACGAGGCAGCTTTTGGCCTCTTGTTCACCTTGCACACTGAACTGTCCTTTCTGCAGTTGTTACCACGTGTTTTGGGGTTTTGTTTTTGTTGGTGACTGCCGTTGTCACACGGCTTCAGTGCAGTGCTTATGTGGGGCGAGTGTTAGATTTGAACAAAGATAATCTCTGTTCAGCTGTGAGCTACAGTGCTGCTGGCCATGAGTCCAAGGTCAGTGAGTCAAGGGACACATTAAATAAGGTGTCTTTAAACAGAATGCACATTAAGCAAGATTATCTATTAACTGGCTCCCAGAGGCTCCTGGGCACCCAGCCCCATAGCCTCCAGGAGCAGAGCTTCCCTGTCTGTGGTGACTACAGAACACGGTTGTGGACTAAGGGCACCCAGCTGTGTGTACTCACCAGCACAGAGTTCAAGGACTTGTGCAAACTCACACCTGAGCGTCCCAGGTGCTTTCAGATTTAGGGACTATGCACAGTGGGCACAGAGTGCCTGCAGACCCACACCCAGCACTCCATATTTGAGGTCTCATGAGCCCTGCTGTGCCCCCAGATCGACCGGTACGCTCAGCGTGACCTGAAGAAGGGCCTGCACCTGTATGGTACACAAGGCAATGTGGGTCTCACCAACGCCTGGAGCATCATCCAGACCGATGTGAGTGGGCGGCGGGGGGCTCCTCTGGGCTCAGGCGTGAAGGTGGGTGTGCAGCCGCCGGCCCGCTGGGCCCTGCCATTAGGGTATGAATCACGCCACACCCAGGGGCTCCTAATACAGGCTTGGCAAATGGACAAGGGCCCTGGGATTTAAGCCAGAGCCCAGAGCAGGCGTGACAGGGCCTGGGCAGGCGTGGCCTGAGCGGGCGGGGTCCGAGTGGGCGTGACCAGCGTGACAGGGCCCGGGTGGGCGTGGCATGACCGCTCTGTCCTGCCCTAGTTCCGCTGCTGCGGTGTGTCCAACTACACTGATTGGTTCGAGGTCTACAAGGCCACGCGCGTGCCCGACTCCTGCTGCCTGGAGTTCAGCGAGGGCTGCGGCCTACACGCGCCCGGCACTTGGTGGAAGGCGGTGAGCTCGCGGGGCAGGGGGCAGGGGCGCGGAGCCGGGCGTGGGCGGCTGGTCACCTGCCTGGTCGCCCGCAGCCCTGCTACGAGACGGTGAAGGTGTGGCTGCAGGAGAACCTTCTGGCCGTGGGTGTCTTCGGGCTGTGCACAGCGCTGGTACAGGTAGGCGGGAGAGAACCTGGCCTGGGACAGATCCCCCTACTTCCCTGGCACTGTTTGTGGAGGATCTCAGGGGCCAGGACCTGTGGCCAACATGTAACGACATGGAGCCACCCTGTAACATCCTGGCCAGGCTGCCCCAGGGGAATTGGTGGGTGGGCACAAAGCCGCCTGGTGCTTCCTTGGAGACGGGCCCAGGCCAGTGCAGGTCCGGGTGCTGGCTCGGGCAGGGCGCCCTTGGCAGTGGCTCTGCCCAGCCCCTTCCCTCCCACCCACAGATCCTGGGCCTGACCTTCGCCATGACCATGTACTGCCAGGTGGTGAAGGCCGATTCCTACTGTGCATAGCCCCCGCCCGCCTCCCCAAGGCACATCACCAGCTGTGCCCATGCGCTCTCCCGAGGACTGCCCTATGCCAGGCTGGGTGCCGAGGGGGCAGGCGGGGCTGGGCCCCAGAACCCCACGTGGCTGCCTTCAGCACCGCGGACAGTGGTGTGCAGGGTGTGGGGCTGGGGCACTCCCTTTTATCCATGTATTCCCCACAGCAGTGTTTTTATTGCCTCTGTGGCCCAGCCTGGGGTGGGGCACGGGCAGGGCCCACTGACGCCCCACGCAGGTGGCAGCGCCCCATCGTATCTAATAAAAGTGCGCAAGCAGCAGCCTCAAGTGTGTCGTCCCTCCCTCCAGAGCTGTGTGGGGTACCTCTGGGTCCTGGCAGGGCCTGAGTGGGCCACGGGCACCTGGCCCAGAGACCCCTATGCCCGCTGTGTTGTGTACCAGCATTGCTGTCTCACACCCTGGGGACAGGCAGGGTGGCATCCACAGGTCCTGAAGCAGGGGCTTGGGTGGACTCCAGTCCCTAAGGAAGCGGGCCCAGCAGCAGCACACACCCGTAGTGGCCTCTGGCTCAGTGGTGCCCTCTGCTGGTGAGGGCAGAACCACAAACATGACATGTGCTGAGGGTGTGCTTCAGGAAGGGGCACAGAGGCCACTGGGGCATCCGGCCCTGCTCTGGGGATCCCCTGCCTCCTGCTTTCTCAGCCCTGTGCTGTGTGGCCTCTCACAGTGACCTCTGACCCAAGCCTCACGAGGCCTCATCCTCCTGCACTCCCGCTCTGACCTGATCTCTGCTCTGGATAGGATGCCCCGAGTTCCCACTGACACCCCACCACGTCCACCCATCAGTCCTTAGCCCATGAAGCCACCCCAGGCCCCCACCACAGGGTGCCCCGACTAGGCAGGCCCAGGACCACGGAAGCATCCAGTGCACCTCCCAGGCAGCACCAGAGGAGCCGACAGGCTGGCCCTCCCCCAGCAGCATAGCCCCGCCCCGGCCCTCCATCAATGCCCAGTCAGGACCTCAACCCATCTGAGCTTCAGCCCTGACCAGATAGATGCCCTATAACCCTGCAGGATCCTCACAGCCCCCAGGGTCCCTGCCACTCACTGCGTGGGTCCCCATGGGGTCCTAGCCCCTGGAGGTGACTCAGCCTCCTTGGGATCCAGGACCCCCAGGTTACCCCTCCAACCTTCTGATGCAGCCAGCATACTCCTCCTCCTGGCCCGGTACCCTTTCTCAGCCCAGTTTTCTCACCCCCATCATGGGCCTGTCCCTGCCCGGTATTGTGTGCCTCCCTGACACCTGTCCTGCATCCTGCATGTGGACCTCCCCTCCCCCACATGTGCAAAGACCCCAGCTGGTGATGGCTCAACTGCCCCCGAGAGGCATCTCCACTGTCCCAGGGCGGAGCGGGAGTTGCTGGAAGGACTGAGCTGTGTCCACTGCCCACCCCTGCCCACAGCTTGGGCAACTGCCGGCACCAGGCCTATGCCTCTGGCTGTGGCATGCCTGGGAAATGGGCAGGGTCCAAGTGGCAGGTGATGGGCCAGGGTATGCCAAGCTGGGCCTCGAGGTCCCTGTGGTGCCAGGGAGAGGACTCCTGTTCCCACTGGTGCCAGCAGGGAGCCAGGACAGACACGGCCCCAGGGCAGCCACGGGACTCCAGGGCTCTGTGGTGGTGAGCACCTAGCATCTTGCTGGTGCTTGAGGGCGGAGATGAATGGGCCAGGATTAGAGCAATTAGCTGGTTTATTTGCTTGCAGTAGCAAGGGGAGGACACCCCAAGATTAATTACAGAGTGCTGGGAGCCCCAGGATTGCCCAGGGCCAGACCACTGAGCCTGGGCCTTGCAATTCCCAGAGGGCTTCCGCCAGGTCTGCGGCTGGTGCTGGCCTCAGCTGCGCCCTCCCCCTCCCTCCTTTTACCAACAGTGGTCACAAGAACACGTGTGGCCTGGCGAACCCCATCTGGCTCCACGCCAAGCCATCCCTAGTGGACGGCAGCCAGCTGGCCCAGGGCTCACTCCATGCCCCAGCTGCTGTTTCCTAGGTGGGCGGGGGGGGGGTCCCACCAGCAGCTGGCGACCTCTGCCAACTCCACTGTGGGTGTTTCCCTCCAAGCCCCACATGCCTGCACAGGCCTGGGCGTGAGATCAGGGATCACCTGGCACCTCCCAACACCCACACCCCTGCCCGGCTCCGTGCGGCAAAAGCCTGGGCAGCAGCTTCAGGTCCTATCAGTGACTGGCACCCAGGTGTCACGGCTGAGAAAACCCTGCGTGAAACACCAGCCCACTCCCAGCAGCTGTGTGCAGTGCACGACAGGGATGAGTGCCCCCGGCTGTTCGAGCGCTCTCTGAGAAAAGGAGTCCCGAGTCGCTGGTGTCCACCCTGGCCACCCGGCTGGAGTGCCCACTCACAGCAGGTCATAGAAGTAGTCCAGGCCCTGGCCCAGTTCCCAGATGGAGACCCCAACGCCCAGCTCCCGGGCAAGGTCCAGCCGCACCTGGATGGACTGGGCGGAGAGGGGGTGTCAGCACCTACCACCCCATGCCACCCACCCTCCCGAATCTGGGCCCTTGCTCCCAGGAACTCCGGCAGGGCCACAGGGCAGCTTGGTGAGGGCTCCAGGATGGTGGGGTGGGGTCTCACGGATTCCCACTGCCCATGGCTTCAGCTGAGGACAAGCGCCACCATGGGGAGGGTGCAAGGACGGAGCACCAGGCCTGGCGTACCTTCAGAGTTGGGTAGAAGACAACGTGTCTCCCGCCACGGCTTCTGGAAAGACAGGCGAGCCCTGCACTCCTGCAGCCTCTGCACCCCTCCAGGATGGGCTGCCCGCCCCCCAACATGGCTCTGCAGGCCGCGGGGAGCACCCCTCCCGTGTGCTCGGAGTGGCCACCTGCTGCCCGTGTGCTCAGGTGGGGCCGAGATGAACCGCGGCCCCGCCCAGCAGAGAACACCCCCTCCCCGCACCGAGGTGGGCCGCTCACTTCTTGTACTCAAAGGCGTGCTCTGCGGCCTGGCTGTCCCACACGAGCTGTGGCCTGTGCTCCTTCAGCATCTGGATGTACCTGCGGGGAGCTGGGTGTCGGTGCCAGAGCCCCAGCCCCACCCTCAAGTCCCCAGGTGCCCCAGGAGGGGAGTGGCTCTTGGAAGCGGTCTGCCCCGAGGGTCCACTGAGCAGCAGCACGGCCCCCCCACTGGATCCTCACTGCCCCTTGACAGGACGTGCACTTTCCTCCTCATCCCGGAGACCGCAGGTGAGCTGAAGCGATGTCAGCAATGGTGGACTTGGGTCCTAGGAAGTGGGCACAGGCCCAGCCATGACCTGGGATCCCCACAGCCCCACATACTGCCTCCCAAAGCCTGGAGTGAGGCCAACCCAGGCCCTGGAACCTCCATATACCCCCAGTTGTCCCACGCAGCTGCCTGAGACCACTAGGGAGTGAACCCAAAGCAGCAGCTTCTGGACACTTCCAGAGCCAACTCTCCCACAGTGTCCCTCACCCCACTGTGGCCACAGGGGGCCTGTCCAGACTCCAGAGACTGGTGGTTTGAGACTGCACCCCCCCACACATAGACAGCAGGCTGTTCCCAAGATGTCGTGGGGCTAGGACACTGGGCCAGTCCTGGAGCACATGCAACACAGTGCCAAGGGGCCCGAAGTGCCACAGACCAAGGCCCCCCGTGAGGTCCTAGAGACCCAGAGTGCCACTATGTCATGACTCCTTGTGATGCCCTGGTGGTCCCAAGTGTCACGGGCCACAGCTCCCCATGTCATGGTCCATCCCCAGTGGGCTGTCCGTACAGGACTGCACAGTGAGTTCAGCCCAGCTGTTGACCTTCCGAGGGCCAGGGGCTTGGCTGGTGGAGCCTGGGGGCAGCCCTGGTGCGGACACAGCCTGGGATGTTTCCCAAGCTGCTGAAGGGTGGCTGGGCTGGGCCTGGGGCTCAGGGAGCCATTCCGTTTACCTTTGTGCTGTCTAGGAATGGCCAGCAAGCACCTAGCTGGCCGTGGGGAGAGCGCAGGAGGGGTGCACGTGGCCGTGTTCTGCAGCCTGGGCCCAGGGCAGGTGCCAGCGGCAGCAGGAGGCCAAGATGACTGGCAACACACCTTGTCCTGGTCTACGGCCGAGCAGATGGTGACGCAGTGAGCCCCCACCACCCTGGGACTGGACCCCTGTCACCACAGTGGGCACAACGCTCAGGAGGTGGAGATGAGGGGGGCACAAGACCTGCAGAGGCTGCCAAGCCTGTTACCACTGTGCAACATGATTTCAACCCTGTCGCGACCTATGGGACATATATGGTCCACCAACCTTTTCAGCCTTTTGAAAGTAGTTGTCATTCTGATTGTATGATACACAGCTGCCTGACAGAGACCTGCATAACTATGTGAACTGGAGCACCAGGCCTCACCCCACCAATCCTACCAGCAGAGTCCCCTTAGGACATATTTGTCCCACGTTCTAGTATCAAAATCCCTGTTATTTCAAAGAAACCCCCCCCCCCCGTCCCTGTGTCCTTCCATTACTGAAGACACACAGGCCACAGCTCAGATGGGGAGGGGCATCAACAGGGGCTGTGTCCTGGGAAGTCACATTTCTAGGGGTGCCAACACCCCCTGCAGAGGCTGCATAGCCCGCCCACTCCTGCTGACATCCCCAGGCCCTGCAGTGAAAACCCCCTGCTCCCAGATGCTGACCAGGGCACACTCTGCAACGTTTCTGCAGGCCTCACCCCCCAACACACGACTCACAGCATGCCCCTAAAAGTGTGAGCCCCAGCTCTGCTAGACGGTCGAGGGGAACACCGGGACATGCAGGTGCGGGTAGAGATGAGTGAGTCCAGGCACCGGGAGTCCCTGCAGCCTGTTCAGTAGCCCCTTGCTCCTCCCTGGCCATGCTGTAAGGGCTGTGAGCCCCTGACTGGGCTAAGCGCTGCTGGGGATGCCACTTTCCTCAGGCCCCCCCCGGGTCCCGGAGTCTCACAGCCCTGCCTCTAAGCAAGTGGGTGTGGCAAACAGCAGGGTGAAGGGAGTTGCAGACCCCCCTCTGTCTTGTTCCTTGGAGGGGGGCAGTGACCTCCCAGCTGATGCCCCAGTGCACCCGCCCCTCCTGCGGGGCCCACCAGGAATCCTGGCCACAGCCGGTAGCGGGGACCCCGGGCAACTGTCCTATACCATGTGGAGTGGCCGGGCCCACCCAGCTGTCCTCACACACAAGGAGAAGGGATGACACTCCCCAAGCACACGAGAGAATGACAGAGAACGACAGGTGGGGAGAAGGCAGCAGGTGGGGTGGACACGGGCCCAAGAAGGCGAGCTGTGCCCTGCCCACTGCAGCACCCACGGCCCTGCAGCACCAAAAGCTCCCGGGCCTCCAGGCCAGCTCTCGGCTCCTGTACGGGGTTCTTGAAGGTGGGGACCGGCCCCTTGCTCTGATGACACCCTACAGCGCTTGCCATGGAAGAGACTGTGCCCTCGGCTCCCAGCCCGTGTGCCCTGGAGGCGCGGGGGCCTCGGCCTGCTGCTATCAGTGCTCAGCTGTCTTCAGACCCGTGCACACGCACCGATGAGTCCCCACAGCCTGTGCTTGATGCCTGACGCCACAGGCCGCCTGCTGAGCTGGCGTCTGTGCGGCTTGTCAAGGTGAGGCCGGCAGGAGGGGCCTTCCTGGGACCAGGGCTGGGTGTCATCCTGCCATGTCAGCTATGGCTTTCCTCACCTCCCACTGACAAGCCACCTGGCCGTGCAGTCCCTGCCCACATGCCACCTGGCCACACCATCCCCACTTCGACGCTGCCCAGCCATGCTGTCCTGCCCCCACACCAACATGCCACCTGGCCACAATGGCCCCGTGCCAATGCCGACCCACTGCCTGGCCACGTGGTCCTCGGCCCCACTCCCCTGCCACCCAGACACACTGTCCCTGCTTGACACCGACAGCCTGCTTAGCCACTCCATCCATGCCCCACGCCGCCCCTGCCCCCATGCCACCTGGTCAAGCCATCCCCATCCCCACGCTGGCAAGCCGCTGGCCATCTGGTCCCAGGAGGGAACAGCCCCCAGCCCAGGCTCCAACAGTCCCTCAAGCCCAGCAGACAGCCCTGCCTACCACTCACCTGGTCCCGACAACGGGCTCGCGGGCATCCTTGGCAGCCGCATAGTCCATACCGTAGAAATTCAACCCCAGGAGAATCTTACTCCGCCACCTGGCCTTGGGGTCCAGGACCTGGACGCAGGCTCGGACCCAGGACAGAGGTGCGTTGGGGCCAGGCCTGCAGGTTAGAGGCTGGGTTCAGTAGGAGCTGCGGCAGCCTGACCCTGCCTTGGATGAAGTGGTCCGCCATCCCCAGGCCCTCAGGGGGCTGCCTGCTCACTGCTGCGCCGTGGAGTAGTCATAGGTCATGAGGCTGAAACCGTCCAGCACTGGGGCCAGCTGCTCAAACTCCTTCTGTGTGAACATGCCCAGCTGGTGGGTCCTGTAATGAGACCGTCACACTTGCTGTGTCGTCATGCCTCACCAGCTCCGGTCCATGTCCCTCTACTATCACCTCAGCTGCCCGCAGCTAAGACAGTCCCTGCAGTCATGGAGCTGGGGATGCTGGGGGGGCCCTGAGACAATAGGGTCGGCCCAGCTCCATCCAGGACAGCTGCCCCTGCTGCCTCAAGCACAGGCCACCCACCCAGGGCCACCAACAGCCAAAGCTGCCGCTGTACTGGTCAGGAACACACAGGGCTGGGCTCACACAGGGCAGAGCGAAGCTAGTACACACATACACACACGTGCACACAGGACACTCCTGGGGCAGCAGCCCACGAAGGCCAGTGCTCACCACGGCAGCTGCAACACCCAACATGGGCTCCTGCTCCCCTGCCATAAACCAAGGCTCCCACAAGCACGTAGATGTGCAGTGGGCCAGGACAGGGGGACTGTGTGTGCCTCCCACCACAGAGCCTCAGGACTGAGATGGGTACCCCTGCATGTTTCAGCGGGCTCAGGCCATGGCACGGTCACAGGCCTGGTTGCTAGAGACACCCTGGCCCCTGGAGACAGTGCCCAATGTTCAGAGTCCTCACAGGGCACCGGGCAGGAGAGGTGGCAGTGAGCCCTGCACAGCCCACCCTCAGGGTGCCCCCAGCAGTGCAGGAGCTGGGTGGTGGCGAGCACAGCTGCTCAGACCCCAGCAAGGAGCCAAAACTAACACAGCAGCCTCTCTAGTGTCCCTCCCAGGACCACCTGTCACACAGTGTCAGGCCTGGGCAGGAGGAGAGAATGTGGGGCTATGTGCAGAGAGAACGGGGGCTGACTGAGTCTGCAAAGCAATAGAGGGCCAGGGCTGGGCGCAGGGCACGGGCTGAGCCGACAGCCTGGAGCCTAACGGGTGCCTGGCGGGCCACCAGGGACGGGCCCAGAGCACTCCTCGTGCACTGGCCCCCCGTGTGCAGTCTGGGCCGGTGGACGTGGGGGCGGCCTCCCCTGCACGCCGTCTCCCTCACCTTCTGAAGGAAGCTTCCTGGTCCCACACAGGGCTGAGCTCAGGGAGTGGGAAGCTGGTACGCACACATGCATCCACACATGGGACACTCACACAAGAGGACACGCACCCACACACAAGAACACACACTCATGGACACGAGGACAC